TCATCCAAGGTTTTTTTTTTTTTTTTTTTTTTTTTTTTAAACCTAGTTTCGCCAAAGCCTTTGAATATCACAAAAAAAAAGTGTGGAGAAACAAAGCCACGCAAATGCTCCCAGTTGCCTCCGGGGGGGGGAGGATGAGATTAACAGCCTAAATCTGGATGTGTTTCATGCAGAGATGCAGAAAAGCAGATCCATAGCAATTTGCTGCACCTGTCCGTATTCACGTCCAGATTCGGGCGTTGAATCCGATCCTTTTTGGTGGTGGGACCTCCCCATGTCCCAGGAATTAATTCATCGAGTTTTCAATAATTAATCCTTTCGCGTTCAAAAACAATAATGAGTAAATAAGTACACCGCGAACGAGTTCTTGCTACTTCATATCTGTACTTATCTCGGTTCTTCATTCTTATCCATTCCTTTTCGTACTCCTCTATACTCCTCCTTCTTGGCCTTTCATCTTCCTTTTTTTTTTTTTTTTTTTGCACAAATCGTCCGAATCCTAGTGTGCTGTCTCTTATACACATCTAGATGTGTATAAGAGACAGTTTCAGAATCTGTCCTTTTTTCAGTTCCCCATTCACAGGAATAACAGGAATAACCCGCGAGTAACGTAGTTCACAGGTCCATACAACGTCTGGGCCGAGGTCCCACTAGCAAACAGGATAGGATCGAGATCCTGAATCTGGATGTGTTTTAAGCACAGATGCAGAAAAGCAGTTCAATCTCGATTTCCTGCACATCTCCATAAACTCGTCCAGATTCAGGCATTCTAGCCGATCATCTTTGCTAGTGGGACCACGCCCCTGGGCCAAAGGCCCTCCTAGCGAAGAGGATGGGATAAATATCCTGAATCAAATTTTGCAAGCACGGAATCCGATTCGAAGCCGCGGCGATTTCGGCCTCGAGTCTCGAGAGCGAAGTATCGTTTTTTCTTTTTTTTTTCTGTTTTGGACCATTTCTCGATTTATGCGTGTCATCCTTGAAAGCGCAGGGGCCATTTCGCTAAGTTACCCTTCTCTGTATCGTTCCAATTTTAACGGATGTCCCGAAGGACGAGCGAAGTATCGTAATCGTAACCATTAGTACAACCAGGGGCGAGGTCACACTAGCAAAGAGGATTGGATAAATATCCTGAATCTGGACGTGTTTTAAGCAGAGATGCAGAAATTTAAAGCAGTTCAATCCCGACATTCTGCACCTTTCCAGAAAAAAAGTCCAGATTCAGGCGTTCAATCCAATCCTCTTTGCTAGTGGGACCTCGCCCCAGGACACGGTGCTCGGTTTACGGAGTGTTTTGACGAAAATTCTCTTGCTGACATCAATAATCTTTTTTTTTTTTTGACCTGACGAGTTCTCCCGTGTTGACCACTGCTAATCTGTTTTATTAATAATTTAATTTTAGCTACTTCAAACTTTTTTTTCTTTTTTTTTAATTTTAAATGTGGTCCGATGGACCACGGATCAGATATTAAACTGATCAGAACAGATACAATGCACTTGATCTATTTTTAGCCAAAAGGCCGAGAAAACCCTTCTATTCTTTGGTACCCATCCCTGCCACGATATCCACCCCACCGAGGCAAGGCTGTAGTGTAGTGTCCAACTCGACACACACAAAAAAAAAAAAAAAA